GCCGGTCTCGAGGCCGGCCCAATTTGAATAGGCCGAGGAGCTCGCGATCACCGAAGAAGAGCTGACCAGAGCGGTGAAGCGCATGACGGCCCGGAACACAGCTCCGGGCCCGGATGGCATACCTGGCAGGGTCTGGGAGAGAGCCTTGCGCGTCCTCTCCTCCTGGCTGCGGCGACTCTTCGACAGTTGTCTGCGGTCGGGGCGCTTCCTGTCCCGGTGGAAGTGAGGAAGGATGGTCCTGCTCCGCAAAGGGGGGAAACCCGCGACGAGTCCCTCTGCATACCGGCCCGTAGTGCTGTTGGATGAGGTGGGCAAGTTATTCGAAAGAATAATTGCTGCCCGCCTCACCACGCACCTGACGTGTGACGGCCCGGACCTGGCCACGTGTCAGTATGGCTTCCGTGAGGGTCGCAGCATCATCGATGCGGTGCATCGGGTGCGCACCCTCGCGGAGGCCTCGGCCTCCCGGGGGAGGGGGGAGTTGCGCTGGGTGTCAGCTTAGAATTTAGAGTGATACCGCGAGGACCCGACAAAACGAGTTTCCTTTTTTTCTCTTTCCTTTTTTTGTGTGCGTGGAAGAGCCGTGTGAGCCAACTACCCTTTCCCGGCTACAAGTTGAGAAAACTACGTTTGGCGAGCTCAACCACATGTCCAGGTAGGGAAATAACAGGTAACAACAAATAGGTAGGGATCAAATTATATCACGAACAAGAAAGTTTAGAACACGAATCATCAAGAACCATCGTAAAACATGAACACTTGTAACAAGCGCTGAAACATACGAACTTAGAACACCAGTAGTAATAACGCGATCGAGCATCTTAAACCACGAACGATCATTTCAAACTAGACTCAGTGGTCATTAAATTGTGACTGGGTCAAAAGTAGCGTTGATGTTCGAATCCGCGCAATTCACGCAATACTATTTATAATGAAAGTGGTGTTTGCATTATATTCCGTATATCCAAACATGCGGACTATGTATTCAGGATAGTCCGCACACTATACAGCATCTCTTTGGTATAGTAGGGAATGGCATAAGAACGCCAACAAATTTTCTTTCGAGTCGCCAAAAATTATTCTCACAGATATCTTTTTTCGCAAAAAAGAACTTATTTACAAAATTTGGTCGATATCGTAACACGACTATTTTCCTAAGTTTCGCCCCGCTTGTAACACGTGAGCCGAGTGATATAGTGTAAATAATATCCGTTTTAATTCTAAATTAATTTCAATAAAAATTATACTTACTATAGATATACCTTAGTTCCGAAATGTCCCGGTGAAAGGAGACAAACCCCTCTCACACAAGCGGTATCCTTGTTAGTTTATTAGTTTCGGACATAAATAATAATGAAAAACTTTCAGTATTGTAGACATAAAGATGCAAAAA